CAGAGGCTCACAGGAACCGAACCCTGTATTTCCCCTACTGGCAAAGTTTCAAGATTTGCTAATTCAGTGTTTGTGGTGACTTACAGAACGTAACTACCATGAAGAATGAGAATTGACTGTAGCAATCTGACCACATAGCCTCCTTCCTTCCCCCAGGTCTCCCTCTGCACACAAGATCAATCCAAGCCCCTTAACACAGTGTTCCAGATCTTTCACGGTCCAGAATGTCCTTGCTTTTTAGTGCCCCCACTGCTGCCTCCTCCAGCCCACTCTCCAAAGCTCTTCCATCATCCTTCACTGCACACTCTATGCCCTCTGCCTCAAAGGCCTGTCCTCCTCATCTCCTCTTGGTGAACTCCTACACATCCTTCAAGACCCAGCTTAAATGTCACTTTGTCTGGGTCTCCCTCTGGCAGAACTTGACACTCCCCTCTCTGTTATATGTCTCTTATAGCTCTTCTCACAACGTTGTACCCGATCCATTCATGTGTCTCCTCTCTCCTGTACTTGGCAATCATTTGGAGGAAGAACATGGAGGGGGACAGATATGTGTGACTCTCTTTGCAGGGTGTGTATATTTCATACATCATTCATTCCAAAAACGTAAACAGAGGCCTAACATGGTACCTAACAGGCCCCATACTAGGCACTCAGGGCCCAGCACTGCCCCACAAGTGTGTAGCATCATGCCCATAGTGTGGCCTGGGTGTAAGAGTGTGTGCATGTGGGATGTGCCACGCTCGCTGTAGACCTGCGGTGTTTGTGGCTCTTGGACACACCGTCCATTGAATTCAGGCCCCGTGTGACCTGCCGATAAAGGGCATCTTAGAAGCTAATTAGACCAACAGGCTGCGACCAGGCACTAATGAGAAACCCTCCCGGGGCACCTCCTGCCTGCCCTCCCCACTCCCCAACCGTCACTGCCTGACCCGGGTTTTGCCTTTTTAACCCAAAGACATCATCCATCCACATGAGATTTCCTCTGGCAAGTAGTCTGTCTCCCCCTCCTTTCTCTGCCTTCCTTACATCTCAGAGAGAAGAGATGAACAGGGAAAGGGGGAGGAAGTCATTTTGGGTACCCACCACGTGCCAGGTGTGTGCGGGCAGTTCACATACATCAGAGGCAGTGGTAGAAAGGGCTTCCTTTGTGCCGGGCACTGTTCTGGCACTGTGTCTCTATTGGCTGGGCTAATCTGTGTGCCAACCCTACGAGGTAGGCAATGCTATTGTCCCACTGCACGGATAGGAAACTGGCACCACACGGAGAGGAAGAGGCAGAGCCGGATTCAGGCCACGCAGCCTACACTCAGGCACCGCCCTGCATCGCTCTCACTGTCCTCACAGGACACCCCTCACGGGCACAAAATGTCTCATTGTACATCCGAGAAACAGGGAAAGTCCCCAGATCTGAAGGAACCAGAGGTGAGATTCAAATCCAGGGCTGTGAGATTCCAGATGCAGGGGTGTGCGCCCAGACGTAGGGGTGTATGAGCTCCAGATGCAGATCTCCCCTGCCTTAAGGCAGCTCCTTCTTCTGCCTGACCCATTAGACAGGGAGGCACCTACTCTGGACAGGACTCATCCACTCCAAGGGACCCCAAGTCCCTTCTGCTGGAACTCACCCTCAACGTCCTTCTTACATCTCTGTGTCTCTGCGACCCTATCTGTGTGCCTGCCCCGGGCTGGGAGACCCTGACAACCTCTTCTGCTCCTCTCTTTATCTGTGTAGCCCAGCCCCAAACACAGCACCTGGCACACAGCCGTGTCTCAGCAATGATTTTTGAATTCAAAACACGGGCTGATGGAAGGGCTAGTGTGTCTGGTATGGGGGTAGGGGGCAGCCCCTCGGGGTTGGGGTAGACAGTGAAGGGCAGTCAGCCATGAAAGGGTTGGGGAGGAGCTTGGTGTACGTGGTCGGGGAGGAGTGGGGCTGTGTGTGCAGGGGAGAGGGTGGCTTTCCATACAACGCCTCAGATACTCAGTGTTGGGGTGCAATGATCGAACTAGATTCCAGCAGCAATGGGAAGCTGGGCCCAGAAACTGTTCCATGAGCTCTTCGCCATCATGAGAGGCTATGCAGCTGGTACTAGACTTATCAACTGGTAATTAAGGTCGAGCTGGTGAGCTCCTGGGGGTCAGGGGCTGATACGTGTTATGTTGTGCTCACGACAAGCCCCTAAAAATGTCCGTTCATGGGAGCTGATTTGCTCATTCAATAGGCGGGTCCCTGGAGCAACTTCAATTAAAATCAACTATTCCAATACAGTGTGATGAGACTGTGGAGGCTGAGGGCAGTGGAAGCCCCGAGATGGGGCCCTAAGCCACCTGGGGCTGCACAGTCAGGGAAGGCTTCTTGGAGGAGTAGGCCAGGTGAGGAGAAAGGTGAAGGAAGGGCATCCAGGCGGGGACTATTGATGGGCAAAAGCATTTGGGCTGGAGAGAGAATTTGGGACTCATGGCATTTCCAAAGGTAACTAAAGCTGTGAGAACAGAAGGCCACTGAGGAGCAACTAGAGAGGGAGGAGAGTCTGGAGCGGCCCATAGAGTCCCAAGAAGTGGCAGTGGGAATTTCTGGAAAGGATAAGAAGCCAGGTCAGGCCTTGGCTTCTTCCACACAAGGCCAGGGATGGGAAGACAAGCGGGGACTCAGAGTGGACCTGTGGTTGTCCCCAAAAGGATGCCAGGATTTGGGGCCCAGCCCCTGGGAGGAGGGAACCCCTAAATTTCCTAGGCCTCATCAGAGGCAGTCTGGGGATGCTGGGGCCCAGCCAGTGGCAGTGCCTGGCGCAGCTCCCCCTCCTGGCCGGTGGCACACCCAGGCTGCCTGCCGAAATGTGCAGGCTCTGTCCTAGGAACGGGCTTCCCCAGACACTCTCCCTGGTTCTGACATGAGTTCCCGCTGCCTGCTGAGTTCGACGGCTGGCAGCCAGGAGCCGGTACCCAGAGAGCCCTGAGGAGTAGCCACTCAGGTAAGGCCATCTGTGTCCAGATGTGCTCTGCCCCTCAGCACACCTGGAAGGGGGAGTCTTCTCTGGTGGAGTGTCGGGGGAGTGGCCTGGACACAAGGCCGCCCTGCGTCCTGATGGTGGAGGAATGAAGATGGGCCGCCCCCCTCCTCTGCTCTGAGTTTTTCCCCTTTCTCCCCAGCTGAGCAGAGGTGGGAGCCAGGGACTGAGTGGGAGAGGGGCTCCCAGAGGGGCCAGGAGCTAAGCAGATGGGGCAGCTCTCCCTGGGCCTGCAAAACCCCACCAACTCCAGGTTGGGCTGGGCGGAGCGCCCCTGGGCTAGAGCCTCCTTGGGTGTTCCCTGAGAAGCTGCCAGGAGTTCCACCCACCTTAAGCAGGACTGAGCAAAGACAAGTGGATGATTCAGAGCCAGGGCCCACATTCTTATGTAGACAGGACAGTGGAGAGACAGGGCAGGGAGCAGAGTCACCCCCAGCCTCCCCTACTGGGGATTCACCTGGTGGAGGAGGGAGTGGACACAGCAGGCAGCTTCCCGAAACCTAAGGAAAGGGGCCCAGGCCCAGAGTGTGGGCTCCGAAGCCAGCCTGCCTGGGTTCAAATCCCAGCTCTGCCGCTTACCAGCTGTGTAACTATGAGCAAACCTCTCTGTGCTCCACTTTCCTCATCTGTGAATTGGGAATAAAACATATACCCTTTTATACAGTTGCCGTATTGATTCATGCAAAGTGCTCAGAACAGTGCTGGCGCTGCATAAACACCCGATAAATGCTGGCTTTTATCGCTACCCTGCCCATCTGCAGTGGATCACGCAGTTGGTGAAGGGGGCGGGGGGCAGGACAGCACAGTCACCTTTGGCCTAGACCAGCACTAACCCCTTAGAGCAACAGGCTGTGCAGACAGGCTCCCTGAGGTCCCAGGGAGCCCAGTAGGGTAAGACCACCGTGCACAGGTCTCAGTGGACCCCCCCAGGAGCCAGGCAGAGGAATTCCAAGAGAGGTCGTGGGCGCCCCTCACTCTGAACCATAGTCACATTCCCTAATTGGAGGTAAATCTGATTCCTGTGTGTTCATCACACCAAACTCGCCAGCAGAACTGACCAGAGCAGCATTTCCCATTTCGGTGTCTTGACAAGGCTGTTCTACAAGATGACAAAAAAGGGTTCTACAGTCAAAGGAGTTGGTGCAATGCTGCATATTCTGTCCTCCTTTGGGAGATTCGTAATGTGAATTTATTAGCATGGTCAAGTAAAGGGACCTATTTAACTGTGCACTGAACATAGTGCTTGACTACTTTTCTTGAACACAGAAGAGAATCCTTTTCTCTTGCTGCTTCTGTTGCCAGCCTATTGAGCAGGGTTCCATGGAACACCAGTTTGGGAAGCACAGGAATACCAGGCTACTCTACGAAGCCTATTGTATCAATATCAAGAGAATCATCGCTTTTGTTTCAGCTGCATTGCCATTGGCCTTGCTTCAAGTGAGCCGCACGTGAGCAGGACACTGCCTGGATATTTATGGTGTTACACCAGACGGGAGTTTGGGGACAAGGTTCCAGCCTCCTCTCTAGCCCCATCCCCCAAACCAAGTAAAAGGCAAAGAGCAGGTTCCCCTTGGGAGGAAGCTGTCTAAAGGGAGACAGCCTAGCTCAGAAAGGAAAGGAGAAGTCATCCCCAGGTCTGACTCGCTGAGGAGGAGGGCCATGGTTGGGAGAGAGAGGGAAGTCAGCATGTCCCACCTCCTTAAGACCTGGGAGGACGAGTGGCTCCCCGGACCCGCCTTCACCCACTGCTATGGGGAAGAGTTGGGTTCTGGGCTGAATGACCTGTGCTCAAGGCCCAGCTCTGCACCTAATCGTGTGTGACCCTGCACAACCCCTCTGAACCTCAGTTTCCCTCAGCTGTAAAGGGGACGATAATAGAACCTAGCTCCGCCGTGGCTGGGAGGATCCAACCCAGTGACACTGTCCTATAAGGTGCTGAGCGTGATCGTTCTATAAACTTGGGAAATGACAGTCATCCTCTCCCTGCAGTAGCGGCCGACGCCCGGGGCCACCATGAACTGGGGGATCTTCGAGGGGCTCCTGAGCGGGGTCAACAAGTACTCCACAGCCTTCGGGCGCATCTGGCTGTCCCTGGTCTTCATCTTCCGCGTGCTGGTGTACCTGGTGACAGCCGAGCGCGTGTGGAGTGATGACCACAAGGACTTCGACTGTGACACCCGCCAGCCGGGCTGCTCCAACGTCTGCTTCGACGAGTTCTTCCCCGTGTCCCACGTGCGCCTCTGGGCCCTGCAGCTCATCCTGGTCACGTGCCCCTCGCTGCTCGTGGTCATGCATGTGGCCTACCGCGAGGCCCAGGAGAAGAAGCACCAAGAGGCAGCAGGGAAGAACGGCAGGCCCCTCTACCCGGACCCCGGCAAGAAGTGGGGCGGGCTCTGGTGGACGTACGTCTGCAGCCTGGTGTTCAAGGCCGGCGTGGATGCCGCCTTCCTCTACGTGTTCCACTCGTTCTATCCCAAATACACCCTCCCTCGCGTGGTCAGGTGCCACGTGGCTCCGTGTCCCAATACGGTGGACTGCTTCATCTCCAAGCCCACAGAGAAGAACATCTTCACTCTCTTCATGGTGATCACGGCCGTCGTTTGCATCGTGCTCAACCTAGTGGAGCTGGCCTACCTGGTGAACAAGAGGTACCGGGAGCGCCTGCTGGTGAGGAAAGCCCGGGCCACGGGCCTGGGCCACCGCCGGAACTGGGCCACCGCTTCCTCCAAACAGGACGACCTCCGCTTGGGCGACCTCATCTTTCTGGGCTCAGACGCTCCCCCTCCTCTCTCACCGGACCACCCTCGAGACCACGTGAATAAAACCATCCTGTGAGGGGCTGCCTGGTCAGGCCTGGGTTGGAAGGACCCGGCAGCCAAGGTGCAGCCTTGGGGGTGGGAGCGCTGTGCGGGGAGTGGGGACAGGCAAGAGGGAGGGTCCGACGACCTGGGTTCAGATCCCTTTTCCCTAGCTCCTGCCACCTACCCCAGCTGTGTGGCCTTGGGCAAGTTACCCCTCGGAGCTGAACCTCGGCTTCCTTTTGTGTACAAGGGAGAGGATGAGGCACCCCCCAACAGGGCCGCCGCTGTGAGGAGGGGCTTAATACGAGAATGGATGTGCACATGCCTTCAGTGTGTGGTGCCCATGGTCAGGGCTTAATAAAAGTCAATTCATTCACTGATTCAAGGTGACCTTTGATCCTTCGACCTTTGTGAGCCTTATCAGGTCATGGGGTCAACATCTCTGCCCCTGCAAAGGGCTGCACTTGATCTAGCCAGGTAAGAGCGCCCCCAGCACTCCTGTGGGTGTCATGCCCCTTGCTCATGCTCAAGTCTAGCCTTTATCCCCAGTTGCAGTTTTAGGCCCGTGGGTTGTCTGCAAAGAGAATGGAGCTTAATTACATGGGGAACCGCGTGTCTCGGTGGAAAGTTAATGGACTTTTGAGTCATAACACTTGCATTTGAACACAAGTTCCAGTGGAACTCTGAGAAAGCGACTACAGCTCCTCTCCAAAATGGGTTAACAATACTGAGCTGGTGGGGTCGTGAGTCTGGATGAGCTCACGACTGCGGATGGGGTTAGCCGGCTGTAAAAAGGCCACATAAGCATTAGTCACTGGTATTAGGAAGTGCTCTATAAATGCTCGTGGGAAATGAGGCAAAGGAGCCCCTCCCTGGCTGCACACTGACGTTCACTGTTCCAGGCCCAAGGCCTCTCTGCAGCCCCCACTGGGTCACACTCCGACTTCCCCGGAAACCCAGGCCCATAGAGGCTGGACAGGGAGGCTGTGCATTTCATGCTGCGACCTGCATTCCTTGTCTCCACCAGGGCAGCGGTGCCCTTGTCCAGAGGAACCATAGGCAGGCCCTCCCACGCCCTACACAACTCACCAGCAGCCCAAGCTCTAGTCCCCAGAAATGTCCTGCCAGGGTAGAATGCAATCCTGGACTGGATCAAGGTCTCCCCTTTCCACAGATGTCAGCTGCTGAGGGCCTCAGAACCAGGCTTCCAGAGAAAAGGTAGGAGAGAGGCCTGGGGACAGGGGGACGGGGGCAATAGGGCAATGGGAGGGGGACGGGGACAACGCCATCTGGTGCCGACCAGGTCCCGAACACGAGGCTACCAGGCTCCTGCGCCTGCTCGGGCAGTGTCCCTGCCAGCTCGGGGAGCCAGACCCAGCCATGTCTGGCCAAGCTGCAGAGAAGGCGTGGGCCAGGTGAGAAGGGACACAGGTGTTTGCTCTGAACATGTGCCCAGCAAGCCCGCCCGCCTACCTGCCTGCCCACCCGATCGCTCTCATTTGGTTCACTGGCTCAGAAAGCTCCCCCAGCAGGGGAGTGAGGAACAAAAGCTGCCTCCAGGAGGCCCTCGGGCAGATGGGCAGACAGACCGGCCCAGGGACAGGAGAGTGGCTGCTAGACCCAAGAAAGGTGAGGACCAAATCGGGAAGGAGGCTGGGCTGGGAGGCAGGGATGAGCTGATGATCCCCAGGGGACCCCAGGCTGTGGGCCAGACTTCAGGGAGGAGTAGGGGGGACAGAGGATCTCTGGAGAAACCCCAGGGAAGCCCCAAGGAGGGGAACGAATGTCCTGCCAGACCAAAGGGAGGACAGAAGACTAGAGAAGAGATCAATAAGAGGAGGGATGAAAAAGAAGTGGGGTTTCGACTGGGTTTAGCAAATGTCTATTGTGTGTTCACTGGGCCAGGCTCGGTGCTGAGTCCTGGGGAATCAGAGACGAATGATATGCGGAGGCTGCCCTCCAGAAGCTGACAGTCTGGCACGGAAAACAGGTGAACAGACCATTTAAGTACCTGTGAGGCATTCTTCCAGAAACGATGGAGGAGGAGGCTCAGAAAATGTCCCAGAGGCACAAGGTTTGAAGATGCTGATACCTGAGTCAGGGATAGGGGAGGGCCCAGGGCCAGAGGTGGAAAACGATGTCACTGCAGGTAAGGGGTGTGGAGGATGGAGCACACAGCACACAGCCTGAATGAGACAATGGCCTGTGTGGGCAGCAAACAGCCACTGAGCAGACGGAGAAGGGAGGTGTCCCTGAAAGAAAAGGTAGATGGTGGGGGGAGGACCGTGCCAGAATCTTAGCTCTGTCCCTTCCCCAATCCCTCCCAAAGGCTGGAATGGTTGGAATTCCAGAGGAACCCACTGTGGTCAGGACAGTCAGCCCTCAGGCCCAGCCCCAAAAGAAGGGGTGGCAGGATGATACCAAGCCACCATGGTTCCAAAGAGCCTGTTTCATTTGGAAGGGAATGTCAGGGTGGGGGACATCCTGGAGCCGGAGAGGAGAATGAGGATGGATATCACTCCGGGGTCTGCCCACCAGGCACAGGGCCTGGCTCATGCTGGCGCTCAGTTGGAGAAAGTTGAAGGATAAAAATACACATCCCTCAGATTTCCCTGGCGGTCCAGTGGTTAAGACTCCATGCTGCCATTGCAGGTGGCACGGGTTCGACCCCTGGTAGGAGAAGCTCTGCACGCTATGCGATGCGGCCAAGAAATAAAGATACACATCCCTCCCGTCCTGCCGGGTCCAGCGCTGGGAGCTGATGGGAGAGCAGATCATCCAACCCACACTTTGTTACTATTTCTTTAGAAGTCATGTGACGCCGCAGGCCTGAAGGTCAGAGTCGATGAGGTTGGTGGGCACATCCATGCAGGATGATTACCCTTCACATGTATCTATGACTTTGTAGAATAAAATATGCCTTGATTCTGGAACTGGAAGATGGAAGTTCAAGACCAGCTCTGCCACTTCCAGCCGTGGGCCTTGGGCGTGTTCCTCTCTGGGCCTTAGCTTACTCCCCCGTGAACTGGGGACAATGGCAATCCTTACCCCACCGAGTCATTGCCAGTGTGGACATGATGATACGGTGGTCGTGAAATGGTTTGCCAGTCACACCCTTAATGAAGGTTCCCATTTCCAGGTTCTCCTAGGCCTTGGGACCCCCTGGTCTAGATCATCCACACGAGGAACAAAGGCCACAGTCAGCATGAACTGGGCGTTCCTGCGGGGCGTCCTGAATGGGGTGAACAAGTACTCCACGGCACTGGGCCACATCTGGCTGTCCATGGTCTTCATCTTCCGCGTGCTGGTGTACGTGGTGGCGGCCGAGGAGCTGTGGGATGATGAGCAAAAGGGCTTCATCTGCAACACCCGCCAGCCGGGCTGCGCCAACGTCTGCTACAATGAGTTGTTCCCCGTGTCCCACGTGCACCTCTGGGCCCTGCAGCTCATCCCGGTCATGTGTCCCTCACTGCTCGTGGTCATGCATGTGGTCTACCGCCAGGAGCGCAAGCGGAAGCACTGCTTGAAGCACGGGCCCGACATCCCATCCCTATACAACAACCTGGACAAGAATCGGGGCGGGCTCTGGTGGACAGACCTGCTGAGTCTCCTCCTCAAGGCGGCCGTCGACTCTGGCTTCCTCTACATCTTTCAGCACCTCTACCAGGACTATGACATGCCCCACGTGGTGGCCTGCTCCGAGTTGCCATGACCCCGCACTGCGGACTGCTGCATCTCCCGACCCGCGGGGAAGAAGGTCTTCACGCACTTCATGGTGGCCGCAGCCATGCTCAACCTCAGTGAGGTCACCCACCCGGTGGGCAAGAGGTGCCTGGAGACCCTTGGCTCCAGATGCCGGGGGTCTCAGCGCTGGACTCACCTGCCTGAGACATGCCCACCGTATGCCCTCTCCCAGGGGGAGCACCCCCAGGATGGGAACTCTGTCCTAATGAAGGCTGGATCAAGCACAGTGGATGCAGGTGGGTATCCATAACCGGTGGGGTCAGCAGCTGAGGCCACCAGAGCCTCTGCCTGCTCCCTAAGGCCACGGCAGGGCAGGTGAGGAACGTGGGTGTGGAGCTCAGGAGACCCATCCAGAGGCTAATGCTGGGAAGCAAATTGGTCTCTGGGTCCTCAGCCCCAGGGAAGGAAGGTTGATGGCTGGAGGGGATTTTATATATGGTGATAGGGTATGTCAAACCCTTAATAAATATGATTTTCTCAGTGTTTTGCAGACCAGGGAGGGAGTGATGGGAAGGAAAGCAGGGGGGTTCACAATGGAACTTGGAGAGGAGGCCAAGACCACTCAGTGGGCCTCTGAGCCCTAGAACCTCAGATCCAGGTTTACCCATCACACACACACACACACACACAAACACACACACACACACACACAGGCACACCACACTCACACACCCACACCACACACAGAGCATGCCCCCAGGACGTGGTGGGAAGCCCAGAGGCTGACCCAGGGGTCTCTGGACTCTGCAACCAGCTGGTCAAAGCAGGAGGGGAGGGACCCCAGGAGACCCTGTGCCAGCATGAGTTGGTTCTCAGTGAGTGTCACTCAGATGAGTGCACATGGCTCCCCCATTCCGGCCTCCCGAACCCTGCCCAGCACAGGTCCCCAGAGGTAAGTCCCTTGGAGGGTAGGAGAGGCAGGCCTGCTGTGCGTGGGGCAGTGCCGAGAGCACATCCCGGATGGGCAGTCTGCCAGTGTGTCTAGGAGGCCCACGCCCACAGGCCAGGGACCCACAGACAGCATCCAAGCTAACGGGCCCCTCACAGATCCTCAAGGATGAGGAACTTCCCTTCTCTTTACTGGCTACACAATCCCTCATCCTCCCCTATACACACCACTCAGACCTTGACAACGGCCAAAACCAGCCTAGACTTGCCCTGAGTCCCAGAACACACACAAATGGCTCATGGAACAACCATCTGGGAGACCCCCAGGCATCTCCCACTCGGCAACCCCCAAACTGACCACGTCATCTTCCCCAAACCTGCCCTCCTCAAGGATCACTACCCCCCCCCCATGAATAACACTGCCATCCGCCCAATTGTCTAAGCCAGGAGCTAGCCTGACATCCTCATCTCCGCCCCATCTCCCAGCCCCTCACACCCCACCTCCCAGTACAGCACCAAATCCCACTAATTTCAACCCCTAAATGTTTCCTGAATCTACCTCTCCTCTCCCACCCCACAGCCTGACCACTTCCCACTGGGCCTCTCCCATCTGCCCTCCTCTACGGGGACAGAGCGGTTGTGTACGAATCTGACCACATCATTCCTCCTGCTTTGACAGTCTTTCCAGCATGGCCACCACCCCCATTGCCCTCCACCTGGCCCCGCTGACCTCCCCAGCCTC